GTCTGTGAACTAGTGTTGACGAGCCTCACTTTTAATTCCATAATGCCAAAATTAGTCCAAGAAACCAACATTCCGCCTTTTTACGCAAAGATCAAAGCCGCATCTTCAGGATATTCTTCTAATTACGCTAGAACGGAAGCCGTGCATCTGGCTTGAATATCGCCGCACATACCGAAAGGGTACAATTAATGGATATATTGCGAACAATTCATCATCAGATAATTGAACGTTACTTTGACGGAAGCGTTTGCTATTAATCCAATGCACTGGCCATTGGAAAAATAATTCATATACAGGCGCTAGTCTCACACAGCATGGTGGTTAGGTGTTTTCGGAGAACAATGGGCAAGGCGTTCGATTTAATAGAGCATTTGGTACTTGTGCTGCCACCACGCGGGTTTAGTTTTCAAGATTTTGTAGGATACAAATCTAACTTTCTTTAAAATATAACTGACATGGATGTCCCATCGTAAGTGAGGATCCAAGACCACTCCAAGGTATTTTATGTTGGGCACTCTATTAATTTGAATTTTTTTATTAATGTTGAAGGAGAAATTTGTGTAATTTGGCAGATGTCTAGCATAAGATCCAAATGGTGAAAAATGTGTTTTAGAATAGTTAATGCTTAATTTTCTACTGTTAAACTACCGAATAATTTTGATAAAATCATTTTCAATTACATTTTTCAGATCAGACCAGTCAGTACCTACATATAATATTGCAGTATCATCTGCAAAACTGGTTATTTTGCCAACACAATTAATTTGGAAAATATCATTTAAGTATATATTGAATAACAGCGGACCTAAGACAGTTCCTTGTGGGACATCACACTTAATATACATTTCTGTACTAAACGATCCTGATTTCTGCATAGATTGTGGACGATTTGACAAATAATTTTCGATCAGTGAGTACGCGTTTCCTCTGAAACCATTTCTATCCAATGCTTCTAATAATAATTTATGATTACCTGTGTCGAAAGCTTTTTTTAAATCAACAAAAATGCAAATTGGAGGGATTCTGTTATCAATATTTTGATGTATTTGATTTGCAATTTTAGTTATTGCGTCCGATTTAGCCTTCCCTTCTGTAAATCCATATTGATTTTCACTTAAAATTTTGAATTTTGTGAGGTATCGAATCATTCTAGTAGATAAAACTTTTTCAAAAACCTTTACTACACTGGATATTATTGATATTGGTCTATAGTTGTTAACATTTGTTTTTGTTCCTGATTTATGTATCGCTATTATATTACCTTTTTTTAAAATTGAGGGATATATGCCAGATTCAAAGCATTTGTTGATTAGGTAAGTGAGTGGTTCTGTTATGTCCGCGGCTATAATTTTCAAATGCTTGCTTTTAATACCATCGAACCCAGGACTTTTTCGATTATTTAAGGACATAACAGTGGTTTATACTTCACATTGCTCGACTTTATCCAAAATAAATGAGTTCAAAGATCTTTTTGGAGGCTGAGTATTTTGTGCATTTGCTTGTATATTACTTGCTAAATTTTCGCCTATGTCAGTAAAAAATTGTACAAATTCATCGCACATTTGTTGAGTATTTTTTAATACTGTTCCCGATGTTGTATTTAACTCAGTGATACACTCTTTAAATTTTATTTTCCCAGTGATCTCATCAATAGTTGTCCAAAGCCGCTTAGGATCATTTAAGTTATTAT